GGGAAGGAGGAGCAATGTGACGAGCCCACATTGATTGAAAAGCAGGATGCATATGGTGGACATTCGCTAGAATTGGTGGATGCAGGGACCTCCCACAGCACATCAGATGTGGGGGGAAATTTTAAAACAGAACCCACGGAAAGGTGCTCTCCAGTTTCCTTGCCCTTCACGGGCAGGAGCACTTTTGGTACCAGCAGACTCTGGGCACACTCATGGCTTAGGCCTTGCATGATCTGAAGCCACTCCACAGAGGCAGAATCCCATGCTGGGGCATGCCTTGCTGGGTGTCAGCCCTTAGGACACTGTGACCCTGTGCAGCACACCACACGAGTCCTGGGTGGTTTCCACTCTCTCGCCCTGAGAGGGGCACGAGCCAGAGAAGTTCTTCAAACCCAGGGGTATAGGAAGCCTCAGCCGCTGGGCCTCCACAGATGGAGCTTCCCCTGCACAACCATCTGGAGTGATCTGGCAGCACACTCCAAACCCCAGCAGAGAGAGGAAAACTGCACAAGGCAATTGCAAAGCTAGAACCCACAAGTAAGTGTGTGTGTGTGTGTGTGTGTGTGTGTGTGTGTGTGTGAGAGAGAGAGAGAGAGAGAAAGAGAGAAAGAGAGAGAGAGGGAGAGGGAGAGGGAGAGGGAGAGGGAGAGGGAGAGGGAGAGGGAGAGGGAGAGAATGCCTGAGGATGGAGAATTATTCATGTAGCCTCCATGGGACTCAAAAAGGCAGATAAGATGGGGTGAGATTTCTGGACGCTGGATGTTGACTCTGGTCCTGGGGGTGGCTGGAGTTCTGTGTTTGGTAGAAGAGTTTGGTTCAGAGCAAGAATGTTCCCAGCCCCCTCAAATTGGGTATCCTGTTAATAAAAACCTCCTTCTATTCCCACAAATTTATGTGTTACGCTTATACACAAAGACAGGCAGCAAAACCCTAGCCTGCCTAGTTACAAAAGGTTCCTACTTAGGCAAATTGCCTGACATTGACTTTATAACATTGCTATACTTTGAAACTATGTATGATATCATTTCAATAGAAAATATTGATGCAGACTCCAACCAGTGGGGTCTGTGTGTTGTGGCTGCAACAAACAAATTCACACTGACTGTAGAAGTCTTGTAGAAAAAAAGGATGGCACGGCCACTCTCTAAGTGAGAGAGGGCCCCGACCCCTGCCTGGACAGGCTTTTATTGCTTTTCTGCACACATTACATTGAGGATGGTCCTCATTTACTATGCACAGGTTAGCTTTAGGTGATTACCTTTTACAGATAACAAAGAAGATGTTGCTACTTACTACAAAGAAAAGGATGTTTGCAAATGCAAGAGGAAAAAGTGGTTGAACTGGTTACACTCCATCCTTGGGAGGTTTAGTGCAGACTTTAGGAAGTTACTTTAAAGATATGCAGTAAACAGTTCCTGCCTCAATTCAGGGTAAGGGAGTTTTAGCAAAATACAAGCCTCAAAGCAGCCTAAGTACAATGCAGGCCTGGTTCCCCATGGGAAAATCGATCAGTGAGCTCAGTTCCTGTGTGCTGCCTTGCTCCCTCTGGTTTTCAGAGGCTGGGCTACATTCGCCATTGCCATGCAGATCAGTTTCCTATAAATATAAGTATAGCACATGGAATACAAAGTAGACCCAGAGTTAGGGATGCAGGCCCAACACTGGTTTCAGCCCTTATCAACACTGTATCATAGTCTCTTATTCTTTAAAATTCTTATCTGTAAAACCTATTCCCCATCTCGCAGTTTATTAAAATAGCAAATCTGCATATGCTTTGTAAACTACTAAACAGTTAGCTGTTGTTTGTTTACTGTCATAACAAAGAAATGTACAACTTAACCAGGAGAGGAAAATGGAAAGGGTTCTAGGCCCAGAGCCAGAGTTTCAGTGTCCCAAAAACTCTGGACAGTCTGACTTTGGTGAATGTGGATTTTGTCACTTGGTTTTTCAGCCACAGTTGGCAGGGGCTATTTCCTTGCCTGGAGAGAAATTATTTCTTTGCTAATTTTTTTCATTCAAGTACCAATATATTTGCTGAGCATCTACTATGTACTAATTGTGCCAGTCATGATAAACACTGGGGACACAATGGTAATCATAATAAAGTTCCTGTCCTTATGGAACTTACATTCTACAGTGCAGATATAAACAAACAAACAAAAATAACCCAAATGTTAATAGCATGGGATAAGTGCTAGAAGTAAGTGAACAGTGATAGGTGAGAAAATGGAGTGGGAGAGACCCAGTTTAGACAGGTAGGAGTAAAGGTAGGATGCTGAAAATGGAAAAAGGCAGACAAGTATAAGGTCTCTTTTAAAGGCAGAACCAGCATAACCTGATGGATCTAATGTAAGGAATAAGGAAAATTATAAGAGAGAATTATAAGATGGCTAATAGGTTTCTGCAGTAGACAACTGAGAGAACTATGTCACCATTTACTTACTCACATTGGAAGAGGGGCTGTGGAAGTTAAGATTACCATTTGGGATGTGCTGATTTTTAAGTGCCTGTAAGCTATTTGAATGTCAACTTGGAACTATGAACCCAGCACACAAAGCAGTGTTCTAGGTTCAAGAGGAAGAATGGGATGTCATGAGTTTATAGACACTACTTAAAACCACAGGAATCCACATGAAGCTGTTGGATGATACATTTTCCCTTGATTATTGACATTTTAATTCATATCAGAAGTCTGAAAAACTTTCAAGAATGGATATATTTTCAAATCCCTGTTAGCAAAATTTCAGGAACACTAAGTCTCAGGAAAAATATTTCTGAACAGATACTGAGAGAGTATTCTTAGGCTCTGGAAAATCATGCTGATGGGGTTATCTGCTACTCCAGTGGTGATATGGCATAATAGAATAAGACAGGGCCTTGACCAAGAAGGACCTGGGCTTGAATCCCAACCCTGTCATTGCTAGTAATATGGCTTTAGGAAAGTTTCTTATTCTTTTCATGTTCTGTTTAATTATCTAAAGAATGAAAATTAAAATACCTTATAGAGTTATTGTGAGAATTATAAATAATATATGAAAACATGCCTAGCTCAGTAAATAGTAGCAACGTTAAATTTCTCTTTTCTACACCATAAATGTCTTGAAAGGCACAACCTCTACTTCCACACCTCATTCTTACTTTAGTTTACTCCAGTCAATTACTCACCTCTCCATTCTACTTGATCTCCTCTTCTTAAAATCACCATTTTTTTCTTCTTAAATCTGCCCTCAATTATGTACCACTTTGCCATAGAATTTGACCAGGTGATCATTCTTCCCTCATTGATTAGCTTTATTCTCTTGGCTTCAGGGACACCATACCATTCTGTTAGTCTACCTACGTCACTGAGGTAGAAAACTCCTCAGTGTCCTTTGCTGGCTTCTTTTCCCAGCTCAGATTTACTTATCTCAGTTTCAGTCCTGGAGCCCTATTCCTTTTGTTGCCCTACTCCCTCCAAAGCAATATTAACCAATCCTATTATTTTAAATACATCTATAGACTCCAAAATTTATATCTTTCTGTGAACTCCAAATACATATAATAGCTGCCTACTTGACAATTTCATGTCCTAAGCACCTCAAGTTTAACAGATGAAAAACAACTCTTCACTTCTGGCCAAGATGGAGGAGCAGTTAAATGCTGTGTTCACATCAAAATTACAATTAAATTATAGAACAACCATCCTTGACACCCAACTGCTCTCTCCCCACTCTGGTGATTGTCTGAGTCCCTGCCCAATCCACTTCACACATCCAACCTCCTTCAGAGGGTAATCCACACAAGCAGCCAGCTTAGACTCACACTGCAGGGTTTCCTAAATACTCTCAAAGGTCTACAAACACCAAAAGAGCAACATTTGGCCTTGGCATGCTCTGTACCTCTTTTTATTTATTTTTTAAATCCTGATCTGAGGATATGTTTATCAATTTTAGAGTGAGGGGAAAAGGGAGAGAGAGAGAGAGAAACATCGATTGGTTGCCTCCTATATGTGCCCTGACCAGGAATCAAATCCGCAACTTTTAGTGCATGGCACAATGCTTCAACCAACTAAGCCAACTAGCCAAGGCATGCCCTGTGCCTCTTGCTCCAGAATTAATGTTAACCAGCCTCAGTTCACAGCATAGCCATTCTTGGGCATTTCCAAGTCCAGCATAGGCAGCTACCAATTGCAGATCACTTTGTAGCTCCTACCAAGGGTCCCCAGAACAGACATAGGCATCAGCTGACCTTTGCCTGTACCAGAACCCCTCTCAAGAGGCCCCAGAACCAACACACCTGGGGGCCAACTTTAGACCACACCAGAGCACCACTGAGTTAAAATCACAAATGGCACATGAAAAGGGTGGACTCAGCAGACACTAGAGCCCCACTAAAGTGAATCCTTCTCCTTGGGTCAACCATATAAAACAGCCTGCACTCTGTCACCTAGCCAGTCCTCATAACCAGTCAGCCTGAGGGTCAATTCCACCCACTCACATGCCAACAACAATAAAGTTTCCACTCCAGTAGGAGGGCACACACAACCCACACGAGAGACACTCCTGGAGTACCCAACTTAGGTGAGCAGAAGAACTGCACCTTGGGCCCCACAGCATACTTACAGCATAAGGCCACTCTGGCAAGACTGAAAGTAGTAGATCTACCTAACACATTGAAACACACACAGGGAGGAAGCCAAATGAAGAGACAAATGAACATTTCCCAAATGAAAGAACATGACAACACTTTAGAAAAAGAACTAAATAAAATAGAGGCAAGAAATAAACCAGATACAGAGTTCAAAACACTGATGTCAAGGATGCTAAATGAACTTAGGGAAGAATTTATTATCTCAACAAAGAGGTAGGAAACATAACAAAGTATATAGAAAACATGAAAAAGGACCAGTAAGAAATGAAGAATATAATAACTGAAATTAAGAATATTTTAAATCACACTCGCTGCTATCTCCCTCGCTGTGCGGTCCATCGGGGTCTCGCTGCTGCTGCTCTATTGCCAAGATGTCACTTTCTAACAAGCTGACTTTGGACAAGCTGGATGTGAAGGGGAAGCGGGTCATCATGAGAGTGGACTTCAATATTCCTATGAAGAACAACCAGATAACGAACAACCAGAGGATCAAGGCTGCCATCCCAAGCATCAAATACTGCTTGGACAATGGAGCCAAGTCCGTTGTTCTCATGAGCCACCTGGGCTGGCCTGATGGCGTCCCCATGCCTGACAAGTACTCCTTGGGGCCAGTTGCTGTAGAGCTCAAATCTCTGCTGGGCAAGGATGTCTTGTTCTTGAAGGACTGCGTGGGCCCCGAAGTGGAGAAAGCTTGTGCTGACCCAGCTGCCGGGTCTGTCATCTTGCTGGAGAAAGGCTTTCACGTGGAGGAGGAAGGGAAGGGAAAAGACACTTCTGGGAACAAGGTTAAAGCAGAGCCAGCTAAAATAGAAGCTTTCCGAGCCTCCCTTTCCAAGCTAGGGGATGTGTATGTCAATGATGCGTTTGGCACTGCTCACTGAGCCCACAGCTCCATGGTGGGAGTCAATCTGCCACAGAAAGCCGGAGGGTTTTTGATGAAGAAGGAGCTGAACTACTTTGCGAAGGCCTTAAAAAGCTGGGAGCTACCCTTCCTGACCATCCTGGGCGGAGCTAAATTTGCAGACAAGATCCAGCTGATCAATAACATGTTGGACAAAGTCAACGAGATGATTATTGGTGGTGGAATAAGTTTTGCCTTCCTTAAGGTGCTCAACAACATGGAGATTGGCACTTCTCTGTTTGACGAAGAGGGAGCCAAGATTGTCAAGGATCTGATGGCCAAAGCTGAGAAGAACGGTGTGAAGATTACCTTGCCAGTTGACTTCGTCACTGCCGACAAGTTTGATGAGAATGCCAAGACTGGCCAAGCCACTGTGGCCTCTGGCATACCTACTGGCTATATGGGCTTGGACTGTGGGCCTGAGAGCAGCAAGAAGTATGCCAAGGCTGTCGCGAGGGCCAAGCAGATTGTGTGGAACGGACCTGTGGGCGTATTTGAATAGGAAGCTTTCGCCCGAGGGACCAAGGCCCTCATGGACGAGGTGGTGAAAGCCACTTCCAGGGGCTGCATCACCATCACAGGTGGTGGAGACACTGCCACTTGCTGTGCCAAATGGAACACGGAGGACAAAGTCAGCCATGTGAGCACCGGGGGTGGTGCCAGCTTGGAGCTCCTGGAAGGTAAAGTCCTTCCTGGGGTGGATGCTCTCAGCAATGTTTAGTACTTTTCCCACCTTTTGGTTCCTGGGCGCACCCTGTAACTCCACTTAGTGCTTTCCGCGTTTCTACTTGGTATTAGCTACAGTCTTCCCCCACCCCGGCAAGATCCAGCTACTAGTGGCCGAGAGATGCAGCCCAGGAACACCTAACACAGCCACATGGCAGCGGCACATCAGCTCACCTTCACTGCACCCTGGATCTGGCTACATTCTTCAGGATCCCATCTGCATTTCCTAGTGTCTAAACCATTGTGCATTCTAGAGTGCATATATTTATATTTTGCCTGTTAACCTGTTAGCTTAATCCTCTTCTTGGAGTAGCTGACTCTGATGAGCATTGTCGTTGTTTTGGTACATGAAAACAAGATAAAATTCCAGCTGTGAGGAGGGAGGGAGAGGAAGTTGGAGATCTATTAAATAAATAAATAATAAAAGTTTAAAAAAAGAATATTTTAAATGGAATCAACAACAGATTAGATGAAGCAGAGGATCAAATCAGCAATTTGAAAGACAAAATAATAGGAAATAGCCAATCAAAACAGAAAAAACATAAAGGACCCATAAAATTTAGTATAATTTAAGGAAATTCTGGAAAAACATCAAGCATAAAAACTTTTATATCATAGGGGTACCATAAGGAGAAAAGAGAGAGCAAAAGATTGAAAACCTATTGGAACAAATAACTGAAAACTGCCCTAACCTGGTAAACGAAATAGACACACACTCATCATCCAGGAAGTACGGACAATCCTTAAAAAAAGGTAAACCCAAAGATACATCATAATTAAAGTGCCAAGGTTAAAGACAAATAGAGAATCTTAAAAACAGCAAGAGAAAAACAGTTAATTACCTACAAGGGAGATCCCATAAGACTGTCAGCTGATTTCTCAACAGAAACTTTGCAGGCCAGAAGAGATTAGCACAAAATATTCAAATTGATAAAAATCAACAGCCTACAACCAAGATTACTGTACCCAGAAAGACTATCATTTATAATTAAAAGACAGATAAAGAGCTTTCCAAATAAGAAAAGGCTAAAAGAGTTCAGGCTAAAGGCTAAAGTCTTCTCTGTTTAGCAGCACGTTATACAAGTACATACATGCTAGAATTTTATCATGTGAATTAGTTTTCACCTCAAACTAGTTACTTGCCTTTTACCCATAGCTATATACATTTAATTTCCCATATAAGGCACTTAAGAGATTTCTACTGGTAAATTTTAGTCAACATATTACATTAAAAGTATCTTGATTTTTAAAATGGATCTTTTTAGCAATGTAGCATGATGGGTTTACTGAATAGTTGAAACATAATGAAAATTACATGGTACTGTTTAATTCATAGCTGTAGGAAAATGTTTGGTTTTTTAAATATAACCAAGATGAGACTGCATAGTTATGAGCAGTAAAATACTAGAAAATAGTAGTAATAAATAAGATGATTTTTCATTAGTAGCCATTCATTATTTTGCTTTTAGGAACCTGAAAGAAATGGTCTTCTTTGAGTTTCAAATGTTCTGATAAATCTACTTGTTTCTTAGCCTCTTTAATATCATCTTGAATTGCTGAAGTAAGTGACTTTAGAGAATAAAAGGTTTTTTCTGATCTGACATAGCCAATGATAGCCACATTGAGGATTTCCCCATTAAACTACTCTTTGAAGGTTTGCATGATAGGAGTTCCATGAATGTTTTTGTATTCTTGTAGTATGTGTTCCACCCTATGTTCATCACCATCTTATGGATATCTCCACTTCCAACACTGGCCCATCCATAATAAAGGTCAGTGGCTACATCAGAGGGAAGATTATCTACCACTTGTTCAGGAAATTTAACTGTGGGTTTACCCAGCTGCTTGAAGATCCCCCCACACCACTGGCTGTGGCTGAAGTTCTGCAGGTGCTTCGTGAAGCCATCCTCTTGGGGCATGGACTGTGAGCCAGTCTGAAGGTCCAGTGACTCTGAGGCAGTGCCTGGACACCTTGGGCTCAGGAGCACACAGGCCAGGAGATACCAGGGATATGACAGAGCAAATGCCTCGAGTTGCCAACCCAAGAGAAGCTGCCTGGGAACTCAGAGGCATCTCTGCCTCAGGAGCAGTAGCCTAATCAATTTCTCCAAAATAGACTTCTTAAATTCCCTCATTCCTCAAGTGCTCCTTCATCTTAGTAAAATAGCATCATAATCCAGCCAGTGGTAATATATCAAAATCTATCTCCCTTTTGCACATACTATTAGCTCTCTTTCTAAAACGTATCTACAATCTCTTTCAACTATGCTGTCAAACCGCAAGACCAGGCTACCATTATTTCTCACCTGGACTACTGTTCAAATGGTCTCTAAGCTTCCACTACAATTTATACTTCCACAACAGCCAGAGTGAACTTTTGAAAACATAAATCACATCATGTCACTTTCACACCTAAAATCTTTCAACAGCTTCCCATTGCACTTAGAACAACATGCATGTTGTTTAGCATTGTTCAAGACTTACATGATTGAGCCTCCGCTTCCTCACCAACCCAGCTCCTTTTCACCCTATCTAGCACACTACCCTTTTGCCTCACCAGCCATTTTTTTTCCTCTACACTTTTTCCCCTTTAGGGTTTTGCCCTCACTGCTATGGCTACAACTCTCTACCCCAGATCTCTTAATGGATGGCCCCTTCTCATCATTCTCAATGAGGTTTTTCCTGATCACCCAGTATAAATAGTACCCTCTGCCTCAGTCATTCTCTGTCCCATGTCCTGGTTTCTTTTTCTTGCTGTTGTGTATAATTATTTGAAATTATCATATTTATTTATATGCTTACTTCTGTATTATCTGTTTCTCCTCACTAGATTATGGGCTCCAGGAAAGAAAGGATTAATCTCTCTTCTTCATCCCTATACCCTTAGGACCTAGACAGAATTGATAGATAATAGGCACCCAAAAATACATGTCAAAAGAGTGAATAATTGAGTTAATCACTATAACTAAGATATCGTGATTAATACTTACATATGAAGGAAGCAGAGCAATGGCTGCCTAACTGATACCCTAATAAAAGTTAAGATTCAACCTTAAGAGTCCCTGGGACTCAAGACTCGTCTCAGTCCCCAAAGAAACACAGTGTTTGTTTTGTGCTTATCTCACAGTAACAAAGTGATTGAAAGTAATATATAGGGTTCTTAGGTTAGAGTGGGCTTCCTTTATAGTGTCTGAACCACCCTACATTTGCATTTTTCATGCAAGTGTGAGAAAATTTTAATACTGCCCAAAATGTCAGAACTATGAGGAAACCCACAGCAATGAAATGTTTTGCATGTGGAAACACAAGAAACAACATGAACATGAACATGAAAATTGCCTTTACTTACTACACCAGAGGAGAATAGACCCCACATTCAACTGATTCCATTAAAAACAACCTGAAGAAAATGGGAAATGCTACAAGATCAAGATGATTGGTCCATTAGAATAGCCACAGAAGAACAACTGTTCCTGAGGTAGAAACAAATGGCACTATAGGAAGCAGGGGATGGAGAGATTAAAGGAGAGCCAGCAAAAATTTGTTCTATTAAATACAATCTCTTGGCCAGGTACAGAAATAGATTCTAATAGTGTCATCTGAAAGGATAAAGCTAGGGCCATTTGCTATTGTGGCACCGTTTACTGAGCAGGCCTATGACCTTAAATATGACTGCCATTTTACTCTTCTTAGCTCATGTCTCAGGGACTGGAACACTACTGGGAAAGGAAGAGCAAATGTGACTAATGGTCCCTTCAGCTGCAGGCAAAAGGTAACATTGGAACAAACTGCAGTTTAAGCAAAGCCACCGGAAACTTCCTGTGTTGCAATGCCCCCAACAGTCCAGGGCCCACACAACAGCATCCCCCACGCCCTTTTATAATCCAATTATAAGCCAATAAAAGCTCAAACCCCCCTACCCCACAGTGTTGGTGCCCATCTCCATCCATACTTAGCCCTCTCCCTCTCTTGGGGAAGTAAAATGAAAACTTTGCTTTCTGTGTTTTCTTTGCAAATTCTTTCACAGCCCATGTCACCGAACCACCCTAATATTATTGAGAGCAACTATTTACTGAAACTTTTATTTATAAAGGGCACACTCAAAGTTTAAGAGAGTTATGTCTAGCTGCCTGAAAAACAAAACACTCTTTAATAGTGAATCAGTGGTAACAATACTTGTTACCATCAGCATACTTGTTTCTTAGGGCTGCCACAACAAAGCACCACAAGCTGGATGGCTTTAAAAAATAAATTCATTTTTCTACAGCCCAGAGGCCAGAAGTCCAAAATCAAGATGTCAGCAGGGCTGTGCTCCAAGATCGAGTAGAATCCTTCTTTGCCTCTTCCTACATTTTGGAGGAGGTGAATGACTGGTGTTCCTTGGTGTCCAGCTGTTCGTGGCTGCATCACTCCAGTCTCTCCCTCTGTCATCACATGGTGTTCTCCTTGTGTGTCTCTCTTCATATGATGTTTTACTTGCTTTAAAATGACACCAGCATTCTAGATTAGAACCTACCCTACCATCCTCATTTCAACTTGATTACATATCCAAAGGCCTTATTTGCCAGTAAGGTCATATTCATAGATGCTGAAGGTTATGACTTCAACATGTCTTTAGGGGCACAATTCAACCCATAACATCCAGGATACTTTCCTTTGATCCAGTTTTCTTTGAACCAATTATGATGTAAAATAAGTCAAGCCGCAAAATAAAATTGCCCCAAGGTCTAAAATAAATTTTTTCCAAACCCTACTACTTCCAAATGAGAGCTTCAACATAACCAATAGCCACTTGGTAATCTTATTACATTAATTTTCTGGGCTACATTTCTAATGTACCTTTCTTTACCTTTGATTTGCACATCATATAAATGGATAGCTTATACATCCATATTTCTTTTATTCTATTCATCTGTCCCTTAATTGTATGTCTCTTCTTGATTGTGAGCTACCAGAAGGCAGTGACTGGTTAATGCTTCCTTTCCTTTTCCTGTTAAGCTCTTGAGT